GAAAGCTGAAGTGCTGGCTGGCCTTCTCTGCACTGACAATATTTACTGTTCAGTTTTCTGTTGGAGCCCTTTTCTTCTTTGAGTTTTCCTGTTTCAGACCTCAAGAGCTCTTAATGCATTTTAGTTCCCAAGAGTTCTTGGGGTTATTAGTTCCGTTACCAAACTGGGTTTGAGGGAAAGACATTTTTGTCTGCCTTTATGTCATATAATGATTTCTGCAATTGGAACATGTAACTGAACACCTCCCTCCCCCCCTTTTTTTAAATTAAAAAATATGCTTAAACTCTCCATGCAATTATATTAACTCATTCCAATTGTTATATATTTATATATAAAAAATAACTTTCACATGGAAACATTCCATGAGAAGACACAGAGCAAGGACACTGAGACTCCTGTACTTTTCCCTCAACATCACGAATCAGTGTTTGTAATCCACCTTCTAATAAGAAAGTGAATTGAGATGTGTAAGTAGTACTCCCTCACCATCTGTGATCTGCATCCTTAACAAAAAATGTTGCAGCACATATTGGCATGCATTGAGACCAAATATGTATGTGATAATTACATGGAGGGAAAGTGGGAGGACCACTTAAAAAAAACAGTTCTGAGAATACTCCTGAAGTTCCAAGAAGGACAATGTTTTTCTCCCCAAGGTTTAGTTCCCCTCAATGTGCAAACAAGAGATTGAAACTCACCTGAAATTGGGATTGTGTATGTGCTAACAAATGTCCCAAGGACAGCCCTCTGGCACAGAGGCCAACTTGCCAAGAGCAGTTTGCGTCCAAATTATTTACCTTTCAGCCTCCAGAACAGGCTGGTTGTTTCCAAAGTGCCCACTAGGAATGGTACCTCGCTAACTCCTGAATTGTGCACGCCTAAATCTGTGCCAGCAACTGTTACACCAACTAAGTGCACAGATGAGCAAGCTACAGTGTGGCAGAAAACTTTCTGGCACTACTGAGTCTACCTACATAGATCAAGTGTGACTGGCTTAAAGTTGAGCCATTAACGGACTTATTTTGGTCTCTCCTTAGCCAATAGTATGATTTATTCAACATTTCTTAACCATCCATTTTAGGGTGAAACAAACTCCATGTGTGTTTTTGTTCCTCTAGATATCTTGGCATCAAGTAAAAAGTTTCCTCACACACACAAAAATACAGATGCCCCATCCCTGGAAGTGTTCAGGGTCAGGCTGGATGGAGCTTTGAGCAACCTGGTCTAGTGGGCGGTGTACCTACCCATACAGGGTCATTAAAACTGTATGATCTTTAAGGTCCCTTCCAATCCAAATAATGCTTTGGTTCTATGAAAATACAGCGAGATGCATCTGACATCTCATGGCATTGTGGCTACTGAAGCAAGTGCAAAGCAGAGACAACCAGAATACGTAGAATTTAATGAAGAATGGATATGTGAATTTCATCCCCCTCACTCTTGATTTTAGTGTAGATTAGTACATTCAGGATTATGCTGTGGGAATAATTAGGACAGACACATCTTCTGTTAATGTCTTAGCAGTAATTCTTCAAGACATAAATGTCTATATAACATTTGCTCAATATGCACACAGGTGACATGACATCATTTAACTCTCAAGGTAACTTTGGTTTCACTTACCTCCTTCATCTTTTCCAAGTGATTATAAGACTAGTTCAAGCCACAAATGAGAAATATATCATTGATGCTAGTCTCTAAACCATTATCTCAGCAATAACTGATATGAATAATGCCTGCCAGCTCAGAGAGCTAGAACTTAGTGATTACCTTGGGAGCAGATCAAGGGAGATTCTTCCACCCCTCCACTGGGCCTTGGTAAGACCTCACTTGGAGTATTGTATCCAGTTCTGGGCTCTTCAGTTCAGGAGGGACAGGGATCTACTTAAGAGAGTCCCAATGCAGGCTAAGAAGATGATTTAGGGACCAGAACACCTGCCTTATGAAGAAAGGCTGAGTGAACTGGGGCTTTTCGCCTGGAGAGGAGAAGCCTGAGGGGGGGTTTAATTAATATGTATAAATATATGAAGGCTGGGCATCAAGAAGGCAAGCTCTTCAACAAGCTCTTTTCACTTGTGCCCTGTGATAGGACGAGGGTCAACAGATTCAAACTCAAACACAGGAAGTTCCACCTAACATGAGGAAGAACTTCACTGTGAGGGTTACAGAGCACTGAAACAGGCTCTCCAGAAAGGTTGTGGAGTCTTCTTCTCTGGAGACTTTCAAGATCTGTCTGGATGAGTGGATGAGTGCCTTTCTGAGTGATCTGCCCTAGTTGTGTGTGTTTTTTGGTCCAGCTCCAGCAGGGAGGGTGGACTCGATCTCCAGAGGTCCCTTCCAACTCCCAATATTCTGTGATATTCAGATTTTGTGAAGTAGTAAGTCTTTCATAACACCAGTATAATAACTCTCCTTTCCAATACTTATCTTTATTTATCAGTTTTTTAAAAATAGTTTATTTACTGAATTTTTCCAATTTACCAATTCTTTAATTCAATTACATAAAATCAAGCTAATTAAATTATATTGCAAATATTGGTAGTTCAGTGCTCTACCATCTCTGGATGGAACACAATACTTTTCTAACTAAGTTCATTATTTTGGGGTTTGTTTTTATTTACCACTCTCAGAGACCTGCACAAAGTGCCAACCCTTGCGTTCATACCCTTTTTCCCTCACACTGCAGCAATTGAAGTTACTTTAACCAAAAACACTTTTGCTCAAGGCAAACTGAACACAGAACATATTTCATGTTCTACCTAAGATTTGGATGTTTACAATTTAATGGAAATATTCTTTTTAAAGAGACAAGTACATATATTTTAAAGCAGGATCATCGATGATTTTAGATGCCAAAAATGTCACTTCTTAAAATAGGAGAATTAAGATGTCTTCTGCAAATTCTACAAGTAATGTGCTTCTAATAATTTCAATGTTTACGCAATATATCCTATACCTGACATCTTTGCAGTCTAGTCTGTTGTTTAAGAATATGCACAAGGAAAGAGTCAGGCCTTGACTCCAGACAGATAGAGCCCATGGTCCTTAAGGAGTTACCAGAGATAAACAAGCACAGATTGCCTTCCTGATGTGAGAAGGCAGAAAACTATAGGGAAAATTGGCAAAAAGGAGGACTGGCTCTGTAAAGAGGGCACAGAAGCTACCTAGAGGAATTAGTGGGATTGGAACTGGCAGCTGTTGAAAGGAAAGAAACAGAATAAAAGCAGCCACTTAGAACATTCAGGAAACAGAAAGCAAGAGCAGGATCAGGTGAGTAGTGACAATGTCCTGGTAAACTACGGCCAAGAAGTAATTAGTTAGGGTTGGAGAAAAAAAAAGAGCAGAAAAATGCTGGAGTAAACAGTGATAAATAAATACTGTTCAAGGCACAAGCTGAATCTTACATAAATTAATACCTCAAATCTGCATGAGTAAGTTATCAAAGTTAAAAAATGTACATGGTGAATAAAAGAAATGCAAAGCATTACTCTTCTTAGCATTACTGGACTATTACCTTTGAAGGGATCAAGGTAAAGATTAAATTATCTATGGATTCAACATGAAAGACAACCTTCTACCTTTAGCTAGATACCACAATCTACAGTTCTCCTTCACCTCAAGATGTAGTAGATCAAGGATCCACACTGCATCAAACACAACCCCCCCCCAAACCACACACACTCAAACCAACCTTCTTGCATCACTTCTGAAGAGCACATATGTGTTATATCAGTAATTTCATTTGTTAAGATCAAATGAGGTGAATGGTACCAATAGAAAATTCTTTAAAGAGAGCCAGACTCTCCCAGTAGCTTATCTTAAGCTAACACACTGCCACACTGGAGAACAAACTACTTAGATTTGTAAGGCCAGCAGGTGGACATATTATGAAAAAGACTGGGGGGGTGGAGGCGGGAATCTAGGAAAAACTACACAAATACCTTAGTCCTTGTGTACCCTCTAGTGGCCGTGCAAGGTACCGCAAACAGCCACGGTTTCCTTAACACTGCACCAGAGTGCTTACCTCTGCAATAGTTTCCTATAGACAAGAGACTAATGAGATCAGGGTTCTTAGCAGGAAAAAGTATGGATTACAACCAATTCTGCCTTTTTATCTTAACACAATTAACCCAGGTTTTTCGCTTTAAAAGTGGTAAAATGCATCAAGCTATTCCCATAGCAAACATTCAGGGCATGTGCATGTGTTGCTATGCCATGCAAACTGCAGCACCATAAGTAAATTAACCTGGTATTAGTTCTCCAGTTCTTTAAGGATGGAAACAATCCGCTACACAGGTTGCAGAAAACACTTGAAGCTGCAATGAACTGCTGAAGACCATGGTCCCAGCATGCTTTGAACTGGAGCTGGTTGCTTTGCCTGTAGGTGCTTAGGAAGTGGATTACATCAGAGACCAGAATTGTATCCAGCCTAACAACACTTGGCCAGCAAACAGCTAACATTTAATTTAGTTCAGTTTAGACAAACAAGGAAGATTGTACAACAGACATGAAAATAAACCCCCCTAAAAAAACCAAACCACTCCCCACACCCAAACCATCAAATAAATAGAAGGCGGGAATCTAGGAAAAACTACACAAATACCTTAGTCCTTGTGTACCCTCTAGTGGCCGTGCAAGGTACCGCAAACAGCCACGGTTTCCTTAACACTGCACCAGAGTGCTTACCTCTGCAATAGTTTCCTATAGACAAGAGACTAATGAGATCAGGGTTCTTAGCAGGAAAAAGTATGGATTACAACCAATTCTGCCTTTTTATCTTAACACAATTAACCCAGGTTTTTCGCTTTAAAAGTGGTAAAATGCATCAAGCTATTCCCATAGCAAACATTCAGGGCATGTGCATGTGTTGCTATGCCATGCAAACTGCAGCACCATAAGTAAATTAACCTGGTATTAGTTCTCCAGTTCTTTAAGGATGGAAACAATCCGCTACACAGGTTGCAGAAAACACTTGAAGCTGCAATGAACTGCTGAAGACCATGGTCCCAGCATGCTTTGAACTGGAGCTGGTTGCTTTGCCTGTAGGTGCTTAGGAAGTGGATTACATCAGAGACCAGAATTGTATCCAGCCTAACAACACTTGGCCAGCAAACAGCTAACATTTAATTTAGTTCAGTTTAGACAAACAAGGAAGATTGTACAACAGACATGAAAATAAACCCCCCTAAAAAAACCAAACCACTCCCCACACCCAAACCATCAAATAAATAGAAGAAAGGTCAGTACCCTACCAAGGTACCAAGTCCTCTCCAGGACAAAAATAGAATAAAATAAAATCATGATGTTATGACTGAGCAAAAGGATATGAAGTGCATTGTATTTTGTTAATGGAACATGCAGCTGGTGAACAAGAAAATAGCAGCAGCCAAAACGAGAATGTAGAATATGTAAAAGCAAGTTTTTAGCACCTGATGTCTTTTCATTAGATGCAACAGCCAGATGCATCACAAACAACACCGGTCATTAAACAATGCCAGAAGAAACATCCTGGCAACTGCTAAAGTGTTCAGCCTTCAACAAATCACTTCACAACTGGGGTGGGAGGAAACCATCTCTGAAGCCTATCATTATGTTGTGCCACATAGATGAGGTACTTACACTACCAATACAATGAAGTCACAGGGCAAAGGAATTATATTATGTACCAATACCTACACAGCAATGATGAGAAAAAAAAAAATCACAATACTGCCCTGAAATTACATAAGGCATGTTCAAGATTTAAGACTTCACAAAGAATAGAACACACATAACAATACATCTCAGAAATAAACTGAAACCTGGGAAACACGTACAATAAACATCCCTTTTAATAAAAAAGGAACTTTTATCTTCAGTATAGCACACAGCATGACAGCGCTGGCCAGTCCTCCAGACAACTATGAAATAGCTTCCCTTCAGATCCAGCTCAGCAGCAAGAGAGGTGGCTCTACTTGACAGATGGCAGATGCAGGGTTTTTTTCTGTATCTTAGATGTACATCAGAAAAAAGCTTCATGCTACATGATCATATAGCCTAGGTTTCTAGGCTAGGTTGCATTCTCTTACACTATTCATCTGCATCGTTTTTATAAATGTATAGGCATAAGCAGAAACACAAAAATCCTTCTTTCCTTGTGTATACAAGTTGAGTTTAAGAAATTTAGTCCCTTTTCCATTTTCAAAGACCCTTTAACAACTGTGTTGCTTGTCGTTCATCCCCATGCCTGAGTTTTGCAATAATGCAGAACAAGCTTGCCATCACTCCCGAAACACTGCAAGAAAAAAAAGAAATACACACACACAAAATAAGAACTGTTATTCATGGGCTAGTATATACATGAAACAAAGCCACACAAACCCCCACCTACCACCAGATAACTGTGTGGTGGAATGCTCCTACTGCTAACAAATCTCTCCATCGTAACAGGAGACATGCTGACATACTGCATGAGAAGGAATGCAATTCCAGAAATTGTATGAAGTCATGTCTCCTTAAATCATACTCATCCAGGTCTCTGAATATCAACTACATTACAGTAAAAGGTATTACCAGCATAGCTAGGGGCAGTAACAGATGTCAAATGCCAGAAGTATATTAAAAAATTCTTCTAAGCACATCTGAAAAGGATATTTAAGATGCAAAGTCACCTCATAGAGGGTGCCAACTTCTTGGTCTGGAGATGGAGCAAAAGACTGGTTTACATATATGAACTGCAAGAAAAGAAAACAGAAGATGGTGATCTCCCCATAGCTCTCATAGATCACAGAAAAGAAACATGATACAGCCAGAGGTGGGTTACTCTGTCCTCTGGTCACAACTTCTTTTACAGTCTTGACAGTCCAAACCAAAATACCATGAATTAGCATTTTCATTACAATGTGGAGGGGCAGCATGACTTCCAGGAGTCATCTCTGACTAGCCAGAAGGACCAAGCTTATGTGCCGACTCCCTTCTGCAAGCTGACCCACCAGTCTCCCATGCAGCAGCTCAAAGTGCACTCACTGGCTTAGTTCTTGATCTTATTTCAGGGTATCCAAACCACTCCTGCCATTCTAAAGTTGCTCAATTAGGAAAGCAGTCACAGAAATCAGTTATTTTGTTCTTTTTCAAAGTAATCCTTCTCACTTCCTGCTTCAAATGTATATACTCACACAGTAACTAGTTTGTAATGTCAGAGGGCCTTGGGATCTGCAGTGTGAGATGGCAAAGTGTAGTAGGGCATCATGTGCTGTTTCCAAAATAAGAGTCCTAACACTCCTAGGGCTTTGCTCCTGAAGTATAGCCTTAAGCTTATACCACACTGGAAGACTCCATGCTCCTACATTTTTTCCCTGAGACAATGAGATGGCAGTTAATGACTTATACTGTTGAGAATATCCATGAACAGCAAAAACCTGAACAACTAATATTCTTTGAGACATTAAGCCTTGTGAAAAAGAAACATGTAATGATTTCTAGGTGAAAGTGACAACTAGCAAAACCATTTGCACCTACACACTTAAATGCCTCCAGACCAAGAGCAGAGTTATTTCAGCTAAACTTTCGCTACACATTTGACTATTTTAATGAGTCTAGCTTCAACTGTGTATCTTAAACGAAAACTTGGAAGTGTGTAGCTCCTGTGGGCTTACTGTTCATCGTAAAATTAGTGCAGTCACAGTTCTGAATCTGCTCCAGCTCTTCCAACATGATCAGGAAGCCACCTGGGCTTCACAGGAAGGAAGATGTGAACAGTACTGGTAATTTGCTGCCAAATATTTGAAATCTGTCCTATGACAGTACTTAAACTGCTTGAGAGGTTATGAAGGAAACTGGCTGTAATATTTAGAAAACCACTCTCAGGCACTCCAGGCTTTTCCCCACACACCCGGCTCCCGCGGTTACCCTGTGCGGGTGGGATGAGCCCCGCACACCAGGCAGGCAGCTCCGCACCGCCAGGCCCGCAGCAACAACCCAGCGGCCGGGGCTCCTACCAGCTGCTCCGAGGCCATCAGCTTCAGGAACTTCTTGATGAAGTCGACCAGGCCCTGGATGGTCCGCGTCCGCTCCACGGCCCATTTCTTGGTCTTCATGATGGGGGTGTCGCCCACGGCCTTCAGCAGCACGTCAACTGCGGGGCAGCGCGTCAGGCCCGCCCAGGGCCCGCCCCCCGCCCCTCATTGGCC